TTGTTAGGATAACCAACTCTAGTTTTAGGATGAGACGTTCTTTTTTTAATGATTTTCTCTGGAACATGGATTTGACATAGATTTCTATGCATGTTGATTGTTATTATTTGATGTGATTTGTGATGCTTATGATGTGATGCTCATATTATAATGTTTATGATAAGATATGTGATGGGTGCTATATTTTTCTAGGTTAGGAACAATTTGGATGTTAATATATCTTCTATAGATGACCATGCTTATGCAAGGCCGGGGACTAATTGCAATATAATTAATAAGTTTTCTACATGTGTTCTAAATGTTAATCTGCCTAGAAATTAAAAGCATGACCAAGTGAATGTGTTGGCTCAAAAGTAAGCGATAAAATATATATAAATGCTTAGGGTGATTTTTTTAATATAAACTATTTAGGTTAACTTGTAGATTGTATAGAGTGTTACAATTTTTCTTAAATGTAAACTTAAAAAGGATTTCTAAAAGTTCATTAAAGTAGAATATTTAGTATCTAGTTTTGAATTCAAAGAGGAAAGAAATATCTCTTAAGGGAGAGTTTATTCTATTTAGAGATCCATATTTAGATAATTTAATATCCAAAAAGAAAGGAAATAGCCCTTTAGGGAGGAGTTCCTTTCATTTGGATGTCTAGACCTAATGAATCTAAGGAACCCGAAGAAAATAGCTAAATAAATAAAGATGAAAAATGTTCCACTTTTACCTCATTAGTATGAAACTATGGAATGTTGTTAGTGGACCCAAGCCACTTTTAAATTAATTAAATGATACTTTATAGATTAAGTGGTACTTTCCGTATGGCCTTTCATTCTATTACTTGATTTGATTTGGGCTTTATGAGTTTTTTTTTTTTATGTTTCTTATATACTAAAATTTTTTCTACTTTTTATAGGTTTATTTTTGACATACTCCTGTTTTAACTTGGATTTTGTTAAGATCTTGAAGATAAAAAAATTATTATGCTTGTAATTAAATAAACAGACTAAGAGTCAGATAGAAAGATAAATGCTCCTAAAAAGTAAGCCCATACATGTTAGGATTTTTTCATGCATTCATTCCAATCTTCTCTTCTTTCTTGGCACCTCCGCGCTTGTGAGTCATGGAAAACCATCATACTTATATTGGTGCAATTTTTTCTAGGGGATGATGTTCCCTTTAGAAAAAAACCTTTTTTTATTCCTATTTTTAAAGTTCATAACATGTCATTTTTGCATACATGGCCAATTTGCATGCATTGGAATAGAAATAAATACAAAATAATTAAACTTTAACTACATCAAGCATAGTCATATTAGTCATAAGTTAAAGAGCTTCTTAGAAAATTCTTTAGATGTCAGCTCCAAAATTCACAAAATATAAATAATAAGCCTACCCATCTTTCTTGTGATTGAAATCATAGCTTTAAAGCGACTAGGAGGTTATCTGACTTTCCAATCTAGGCCGATGTAAGCCCATAATTATATTTCATTAGTTAGGCTCCGGTTACTATTATGTAGTGATACAACTTAGATCAATGTCCCAGGGTGGACCCAAAATATTAAGTTCTCAATATAAGGAATTTAATCCCATATTTATAATAAAATTCAGCTCAAATTAAAATTTTCCTTACCCAAAATTTAAAGCACAACATAGGATTGGTTGGGGTGCTCCATTGGCCTTCAAAGTAAGGGCTCAAAAATCAATCTAATCATGATTGAAATTTTGACATCTCTCCTTTCATAGACGTATTAAGTCACCTTAGATGGTTTGGTCACATAAAATGATGTCCTTATGATGATCAAGTTATGAAAAGAGACGTATTAGATTTGACTTATATTATGAAAGGTATAGGTAGATGTAAAAAGACTTGGTTATAAAATATTAAAAATGACCTTTCTTTATTAGATTTAAATGAGAATTTAACTTTTAACAGGGCACAATGGAGAAAAAGGATTCATGTAGCCAATCCCACATAGTGGGATAAATGCTTGTAGTTGTAGTTGTAGTTGTAGTTATAGTGGTAGAGTGATTTTTGTAGCTTGAAGTAGATGGTACTAGAATAATTATGTGAAGTAGAACACGTTCTCACGGGATCAACACTCTCTCATAATACTTTTTTTACTTGATTGACATGTGCACTTAACTTTTTTAGTAGGGATTTATATTCAAACAAACATAACTAGTATTATCAAACACAAACAACCCACTGCATCAGAAAGCAACAAGCAAAAAGCTTTTTTCTATTATTTGGCAATACATCAAGGTTTTCTACTAAATGATCTCATTACATAGCTTGTTTTTATGATCCTCAACAAAAAGACTTCTTTGTTGTTCTTTACAATCATTTTCTTAACATTTGTTGGCACTTAAAAATGGTTGAAAATTTACGGATGCTCCTAGGTAATGTAACATTCTCTTTGGTTGCAATCTTTTTGCTAGGAGGATCAAGAATTAACAACTATTTTTTGCATGTCATTCCAATTTCGTGTTGCTTGATGTTGGATCCAAATTTATTTGCAAATATCACCTAACCTTACTAATGGACATTATCCAAAATAAGAATTTTAGAGCTTAAGGTGAGTATGGAAAAAAGAAAAGAGAAAAATTAAGAGAACTGAGAGAACTAAGAAAACCCAAAATCTTAGAAATTCTCTAGCAAATTAACAATTCTCTAAAATGGTCTAAAATATACTTATTCATCTGATCTTTGTTAGGATTTGGGGGATAGATGGTAAGCTCGATAAAAAAAAAAAAAAGATTAAAAAAAATCACATCAATAATTGTGCCAATTGTAGACTATACATGACACATATCGTAAATTGTTAAGTATCTTCATGGTTCTCTATTACTCGCATTGTCCTCAATTTAAAGGTTAGACATTATGGGAAAATTAGAATGGCAGTTCCTTTAGGCATGTTAGTGACTTGGTCTAGTGAGTTCTTCGGGCGTAGATGTAAATATCTATGTGTGGTTCATGGGTTCTTAAGTGTGAAGGAAGAGTTCCTTTAGATTGTAATAATTGTGAGCTAAGAATGAGTCATGTCTAGAGGAATGGTCTCTTGACCACTTTAGATGCTCATTTCGTATAACTATATTGGAGTGTAAGTGGATGTTTGCCAATTTGAGAGAGATCATATTGCTTTTGTAGGCTGATCTTGCTAAAGAAAAGAATCCTCATGTGTTTGGATGGAGATTTATGAGTTCCTTATTGCTAGCTCCTGTCAGGGATGACTCTCTATCTTGATTGACCTGAGTGAGTCACAATCCTTCACTGGCAAGGTGATTGCTCTAGCCAAACTCTTATTGTTGGAACTTGATAGTTCTAGGTTCTTCTATCCAAACCTATTAAGCCCTTGTGAAAAACCTACTTGAACATGTACGACTATACAATTAAGCTTTGGATTCCAACGGTAATCAACTTTTTTCTCAAGCCTTCCATCCTTCAAATGTTGGAATGCATTGGAAATACTGCACTAGATAAAAAAAGACTTGATAATCTTCTTCATCTTTTCATTTGTTCCTTTATATATATATTACATTTGAAGGGAGTGTAATGATAGGTCTTTCGGAATCTTTTTTTTTTTTTCTCCTCTTCTTATCATTTAAGGTCTCATATTAAGTGCATAAAAATAACAACCTGTGAGAAATCTACTCTATCATTCCTCTCTTGTTCATGTTAGGGACTCATTTCTTTAGCCTTGTTGCATACCATTTTCTGAACGTAAGGGTGCCTCTATGTTGTTGGTCTTTTTTTATTTAGGTAGTTTTTCTAATACTTTGCTAGGATTTATTAGTTTTACGGCATATTCTTCTAGCGAAATATATTGAGATTCTTGTCAGTTTTGTTTTGACTCTTGTAGGTGATCAATGACTCAATGTAGACTTCTTGAATACTATGGAGATTATTTTTATCATCATTTTGTTTAAATTTTTTATACCTTCGTCTCCTCCTCTTTTTTCGAGTATCTAAAAAGATATGCAACTCATTTTAGTCTGTTGATTAAAAATTTTGGCTACTAACAAAAAGATCTCGAATTTGATGCTTGAGTATATGATGTGTGTGTAAGCTTTCTTTGATGGGCTCAAATGTCTAAAAAAAAATCTAAAATGATGATGATGTTTTCTCGAAGTTATATGGAAACCATCCTTAATTTACGGCCCACGAACTTCATTACATGATTGGCCAATTGGAGATCTATCCAATAAGACTTCCCTAAGATTCTTCATATTCATTAGTGTCCCCCTTTCTTTTATGTATCCCTTTCTTTTTAGTTCTTTTATACGCCATGTTCATTTTAGATCATTTTTTTGTCATTTTCGTTATACTTTGTATGTAAATTTTTTTTTTTTAGTAAACTTTGAGCATTGTGTCTCAATTCTCCCAAAAAAAAAACTTCAATAGTTATTTCTCATGGCAATTCATTTTAGCATAATTATTTCTTTTAAAAAATTGGGCATTAAAATATAAATCTAATATAGATATTAATCAATTTCATAATTTCGACAATTATTTTTAAGAAAATTTCTGACTTTTTATATATTTTTTTCCTCAACTCATTCTCTGCAAACTTCAGCTTCATTTCGGCAGCTTTTTTATTATTTTTCTTTTAAAAAAAATTAGTGCAAAATTTTTTTGAAGCATTATTTCTGTTTTCTTAAGCAATTTTTTTAGAACAAAAGTTTCTCAAACGAAGCTTCCGTCTGGTTTGCCTTTAATGCATTAATTTGCGAGCATAACAAAAGGGTGGTTACACTTATAGGGTTTTCCCCACGCAAGTGTTAGCCATAACTTCTCGAATGCTTGTAACTGTCCAAAGCTATATAATATTAGCTTGCTTCTTGTTTAATCTATCAGCTCCTTCTAAAATGAAGGCAATATAATAAATAATTATAATTACATTCACCTCAAAATAAATCTAAATTTTTAAAAAGCTCATCTTAATAAAAAATTTTGATCATAATATCCTTCCAAGCAATTTTTTTCTTATTTTACAATCCAATTATCCAAATCAAGAATGCCTCGTCATTGCTGAGAGGTAGCCGTTACCCTATGGCCGCTGCTGCGAGACAGAAACAGGATGGCCAACTCCTCTCCTCGTCGTCGGAAATACCACAAACAGTAAGCTGCATATAACCCCAATCCCCAACGGAAGCACATCCAACACCTCCTCCGTGCTCTTTGCCGGCGACGGATACAAACATCTCACCACGTTCTTATCCCTCAGCGCCACCGCCGCGAAAACCAGCGCCGATAGCACAGCGTGGATGCAATCTATGAACCTCAATCTGTATCCGGCGAGCTCCACCGCCGACGAGTCCACCGGCTCGAAGAGCCAAATTCCGCGCAGGGTGGCAAGGCCGTGGATGACGCGGCCGTCGGGGAGGCGGAGGCTGTCGGTGAAGCAGGCGGCGAAGGCAGAGGCGGCTAGGAGGAGGAGCAGGGAGATGGTCATGAGGCGGGTGGTGGAGTCACAGGAGCCGTTGTGGGTGAACACAGGGATAAGGAGCTGGAAGGCGAGGAGCGTCCCGGTGGGGAGGAGGTTGGCGAGGTGGGCCGTGCCGGCGAGGGCTTGGGAGAAGGTTGGGGTTGGGCGGGCAGAGCGGCGGTGGGAAGGAAGAGAGGGAGAAACAGGAGACGAGGAGGAGGAAGAGGAGTCCGGCTCTGTTTTCTCTGCTATGTTCTGTGATTTTGTTGATCTTATTGCTGCCATTCTTTGAAATTGCTGCTGAAGTTTTGGCGTGGATGTATGAGTAGTTGTTAAATATATATAGATGGTTAGGTGATTGAGATTGGAGGAATCGTGAAGGGATTAAAGATTTTTTATGAGATGGTTTTATTCATGTGAGGAAATTGCTTGGGTGGAGATTTTATAGTATCGTGAAAGCTTACTGTTTTTTTTCAATGAGTTTACGTGGCTTGCTAAGGTCTATGACCCAGTTCAGATTGGTTTTTGATTGGAATAAACATCGTGAAAATATTAAATATTTTAAAATTTTATTTGGTTGTTGTTAATTGTATGAATCGCTTACATAAATGTGCTCTCTTTAGGCTGCGTGATAATACCTCAAAAGAGAAAATTTAGGTTGGCTCTAGATTGTATGGACCTTCTTATATATTGAATGGTTTGAATGCATGGTTTGATCCGTAGAATATGGGGCTAAATAATGATTTTATTCATATTGAATAATGGGACAATTTCTTAGAAGGAACATAAAATTAGTAGTTTTTAGGATGTCTTCTGTTTAATTCAGGATGAAACTATTTCGGGGGCTAGTAGGAGCCTAGTCGTCTAAGCAATAGGTGACTAGGTGACCCTCCACCCCTAGAGAAAAATATTTTTTGTTTTCATGAATTATTATTTTTTTTAAATTTATTTGCTCATAATTGAGTTATTATGTTTTATCATTTTTTTTCAGAATTTATTAGATTGAATTAATTTGATTATAAGAATCCAGAGGAATACAATGACATTTATGTTAATAAGAAATTAGGACATCAATAATTACTTGAGTTATAAAAATAAAATGTGATTATGCTTCGCGATTTAATGTCATCTATCAATGCAACATTGAACTCTACTTCAACTTTTATGAAGTCCTTTTCTTTTAGTTTAATATCATTTTTTAGAAAATTTTAGTCCGATCAACATTAAAGTTAAGAGTTTTGATTTATTAGGATACTTTCATATTCTTTTTACAACCTTTCACAACTTTTTAGTACACTTATATAATTTTTAGCACATTGTCTTCTCATTTTTATAAGTTTCTTTTGGTTATTGACCTAAGATAAGACATGTTTAAATGAACTAGTTGTTTATAAATGCATCTTGGATTTCATTTTCCTAGACCTTCCCACAACCCACTCTTAAGCACTTCTTCAAATTAAGAATTCCCCCATCATTCTTCCCATTGTTATCTCATTCCATTTCTCAGTAGTTCCAACATAGGCTTGAGCTGTTGTTTACAAATCATCTAGAGATAATTAAATTAGTTTTTGAGTGTAAGGTATGTAAAGTTTTCTATTTTCAAATAATTTATTAAATTATTTTTGTGTTATTTCTTAATTAATTTGTATTAATACAAGATGAGAATTAGAAAGATGAATACAACAATGAGGTTAATTCGCTACTACGATGGTAAAATAAGTGTTTTAAAGAGCATCTCACTATATCATATATATATTGGATATAAAAACCGACCTAAATAATTACAAATGAACACAAAGCTAGCTATATGTGCAAAACTAGCATACTAAAAGAGCTTTGAATCTTAATTATCGAGATCCCATTAGTGGCAAATTATAGCTTGTGTAGCAACACAAGCAATAGATGATGTGATTTGTAAAGTGATTCTATAAAAAGAAGCATCATTGCATGGAATAGTAATGTACGTTGAGGCAGTGTTTGGTCAATCTAACAAGAAAAAATTGGAGCACATTAATTCTTCTATTATGCAATTGAGTGTGAGTGAGACACTGCAAGTAGTTGTTGATACTAGTCAAGGTTCTACAACTGAATAGATTTTCCTATCTCAATATTCTAACTTCAAGGTTACTATGTGAATATTTCCTCATTTTTATCTTGCATAAATGTAATTTGAATTTATACCCTTTTTCTTACATACAAACTTATTTCAAATCCTAAAAATCAATATCAAGGTAGCACTTTAATATCTCATTTATTCCAATAAATAAAGGATAATGAATCCACAATTCTTGATGTTGACAAGACAAATTTGGCTGCCTATAATTTTTCCAAAATAGAAAAAGAAAAAAAATATGATCACAAAATACTAAATAAAAGGTTGGTACTCTAGCGTTCAATTATAAAAATAAGGTTGAGGATATATGGACTTAGTTTATCTACCTTACAACAACAAAATCACCTACTACAACATGATAATTTACATAGCATTATGTTTGCAAGGGTTAATGTAAAGAATTAAATAATTACAAACAATGAATATGTTCAACTGGACAAATAGCTCAAGAATGCCTAATTCTGATAAACCATTAAATATAATCTTACTTTTTCAAGAGGAATTCCTTAATTCCTTTTGAACCTCATTCTAGTATTATTTTTAAGCAAAATTTGAGTTATAATATGCTATCAATGCTTGGCCAATAAATAATAATATTTACCCACTTCAATTGACTATTTATATGTATTCTCAAACTCTTATTCATACATAGCAATTTTTTTGCCCCCAAGTATATTATATTATATTTAATTGCATGAGTCACGTACCCACTATTTGATAATAGCTATGAGAGAGAGAGAGAGAACCAAAAATTTCACTGTATTGTATAAACCATTTTACATAATAAAGAATTCTAATGTAAAATCCATTTTTTACCCTATGGATTAAACAAGATAGTTTATTTGACTAGCAAATCAGCATGGTATAAGAAAACAACCATATAAACATCAAAGGCTAGTTGTTATATTTGTAAGGGCAGAAAAATATCTAGCTAGGATTGGTAGCACCATTTTATTTTGAATATAACATTAGTTTATATTAATGCAACCAAAAATTGAATTATTTCCCAGCATTTATTAGTGGTAATTGAAAAACGGTCGCTATAAAGCCCTTTTGCCAGTTGTTTAATCCTCCTAATAAAAATAGAATTTATAAAAATAGAAAATTTGATTATGTGCGCATATTTCTCATCATAATGGTGTCCTGAAGGAGGTGCATTTGATGAAACGAAATTTAATTATTTTAAAAATATTATATAAATATCTTTGACTTAAATAACATGTATTAAAAAATACAAAATAATTTTAGCTAAGATTTATAATTTTAACATGTAGAAGAAATAGTATCCATATTGATCTCAATATTAATTATCAATGTAATATAATTCATGAGTTTATTTGATTTTATATAGAAAAAATTAGTAATTGATTATTATAATTCATGAGGTTTGATCAATTTTATAAAGAAAAAAAAATCAAAATTAAGATCAATGATTGAATCGATAAAATAACACTTAGCCAAATCAACCAAATGAGATCAATTCAGCAAAATGGTTTTTAATTTTATCTACTCTCAAGATTGATAACATCAATTTATGTGCTTACTTCTTATCTTTTTCTAAATAGAGGGGTTGACAAAAATAAGATAAGAAGCTTGTGTAGGATTTTAAGGTAAGAAATTTGAGATATTTCTTACTTCTTTACACAATATCTCAGTTCAAAAAATTTTGTAGAATTAGCAATCATCTATACATGAAAGGATGAAATAAAATGTGGTGTGAGATCATCTATTTATGTGACATTCTTAGAGTTCTTTGTCATTTTTATCTGTGTATTTACTTGAGAATTAGGAAAAGGTTGACGAGTGTTCTAGTTTTGTATAATATGATTTTGACTTCTTTGTTAATTAATTGAGTTCTCTTTCCTACATTATGAACAATTAGTAGGTTGAACTCGAATCACATAAATATTGATATCATTTTGTGGTATAGTTCCCTCACTATTTTGTGTTGATTTTGTAGAATTTTATTCTTGATCTTCATGATAGTTCAACAATATTTGTTCTTTTGGTTTTCTCATTAAAACGAACTAGTATCAAATCCAAATTCAAAATATAACAATAAAATTTAAGACCAATAAATATGACTTCTTAAAAAAAAAAAAAAAGATATGTGATTTTCTTGTTTGTAAAATCTTGTGAAGGCATTCATTCAGTGATGTGAACAATGAAAGTAAAGATAAAAAACACAAACATATATGAAGGAGCAATTAAGTTGATCTAGATTGTGGTGAAGGTTTGCAAGGAATATATCATTGATGGCTTATGATTGAATATATTGTTATTGTATACGACCAAAAGACTATCAAACACTATGTGAATCATGTCATATATAAATAAATTTAATTGAATTATCTATGGTTAAAAAAACTATAATGAAACTATGGATAATGATGACCACTTTATTATAATGACTCTTTAAATCTCTTCTATAAGGATCCTCATGATACTATACTGTATATGTGATATGACATAAATTTATAGGATGTGAAGAACTCATGAGAGGGGACCAATGAACATAAAGGGCAAATCAATGAATATAAAGTTTAACTCTAAATCCAAGTATGTTGGTAAGAATAAGAATTGCTTCAAATGCAAAAGATATCGAGAACATCAAAAGAGATTTGAATGGCATTGAAAAAAATGAAGCAACGTGTAGGTGGAAACCATCAAGAGGATAGGACAACAAAAAATTAATGTTGATATAGATTATGGTGATAATCATTTTGTGGTTGCAAGTTATAGACATAATGATTAGTAAGGCTCAACATCTTCTTTTCACATGTGTCATGATAGATTATTATTTTCTAGTTACGAATCACATATTTGATGTGCATATATGAAATAATTTGTTTTGGGTTATAAGTTTTAATACTATTTATTTTACAACACATGATGGTGCAGCTAAGACTTTTATTGGGGTGAGATTTGTATCTTAGTTAAGAGTGAATAGTATATCATTCAATTTTGTAGTTTATGTACAATACATGCATGTTTAATGAGGATGTTTAGATCCCAATTTTTTTTATGGGTTCTTTGGTTGTAATGAAAACTAAAAAATTAGAAAAATGTATGTATTAAAAAAAGCTTTAAAGCCTATTTTATTTAATTCATCTCTTATGTTAGAGCATCACTTTTTGAGCAAGCTAAAGAGAGTTTGCTAGCTATGGGAAATTTTTTAAACAAGTTCAGGCATGAGATGTCACACCCTATTTCGACTGCCCTATAGTTCATTTAGAGTGTAACAGAAAAGAAAAATCTGAACAACTTTCCTTAGTATTGATACCTATTATGAAATACCTCTATCAGAATCAGGGAGTAAGATGCAGTTTATTCAGAATATCATAACATATCATAACATATTAAGCTTA